TGTCAGTTGTGTTTGGTGGTCCGCCCGATCTGATTAAACAAAACCTCCGCGCAGCCCAGCAGACATATTGGATGACATTTGCATTTGATACATGAAAGTATATGACTCCATTCAGTGTCCACGGGGGCAACGATGTTTCAAACATTCATTGCTGTATCTGGGATTAAAAAGCTATTTATGAATTAAACAATTACATTTCGACTCTTTCCGTTCTCTTTTCCATCGTGGCATCCGTGACGTGTGAATGGAGCAGCGATGATACCCGTTCAACCATGGAACCGCTGCCTTAAATTAACTCCCCCTGTTTGGTTCATTGACTCGCGCAGTGTCTCGTTGTGAATGATTACACCCGCTTCTATGAATCCTGTGTGAATGTTTCCCTTGAGTTGATCCATGTTTGCCTTCTTCTTTTGCCGACTGCATTCATTTTCATTAGTTTTTCCACTAATTCATTACACGAGCTGAGAATAATGACGAATTAGACAGATTTCAATGCAATGTTTCTGGCTTTTGATAGATTCCAAGTGAGGTTCTGAATGCATGGACTATTGCCATTTAAAAGAACAGTAACTGTCTCTCTCTCTCTCTCTCTGTACCTTCTGATCAGATTTCTTTTGACAGAAACAACACTATTTCCTGTTATTTGTTGGGCCACTTGAAGCGTGTCGGCCTTTCTGCTCCAAAAAGAATTTCACGGGGAGAAAATAACCCGCGATGTGAAGATCATTGAACCGACCTGTCACAGTCTGACCGATGCGCGATGGCACACTTTCTTTGAATAGACCAGTGGGCCTCACGTAGCTCTGTGGCTGCACACTATTGAATCGGTCCACATGGCCGCCCTGCGAAGGAGAGAGGATCCGTAATATTGTGTTTGATGGTTTGACACAGCAAATTGTCTCTGGAATCATATCTTTAGTATCCGAGGGGGGAATCAGCGGACATGATGAATGGCTCCCGTCTCGTTCCAACCCGAGGAGATCAGTAGAACCATTTGGTTTCATAGAAGAACATTTCAGAAATCCATCTTCATTTGCCAGTTTTCCGTCCCTCTGGATTGGACAAATACAGGAAATAACCGAGCTTACGCATTGTCTGTTGTGATATTTGGAGAACGGGTGTCCCACAATGTCCACTGATTGAACTTCTGTCAGCCTCACTTGACGTAACCTTTGATTACGTCCCCTTCATGCAGCAAGATCAAAAATCGTACAGATCTGTTTATTTTTTTGCAGCTTAAACACAGTTTGAAATCCTGCCCTCACAAAGAAAGTGTGAATGTTAATCCATAAGTGCTGTAAAAAAGAGACACTCACCTCAACTTCAGGACTCTTTGTCGCCCGTTTAAGAAATCTGGAGTTTGTTGGCTTCCCTTTTTTGTGTTTTCTGTTTTTATTTGAACTTAAAAGTTAAGTTGGCCCCGCAGGAAAGAACACAGCGCATAAAATATAATGTCCTCCTGCATGCGGTACATGGAGAACTTCTGAACCGCTTAAATGGGATGTGAACGTTCCCTTCTGTTTTGCATATGCATGTGTGTCTTTGAGCACCAGCGCGTGTGTTTTCACGCTTCCCTTTGCAGGAATTCATCATCCTCCGGGCGGCATGTTTATATTCATCCCCTACTTGGTGCTGCTTTGTACATTTGCAAAAGATTCACACGTATGCACACACTCACTCACACCCACGCATGCGTGCACATGCAATCTCATCCTGTTTTCTTTTAATTAATGACTATGGTGCTAATTAGAAGGCATGCAACCCTCCAATACCCTCCGAATCACTTGTTCACTCTTAGGTTCACTCCTCGAAGCCTCATGAAGCAACTCTCATGTGTTTTGATCTCGGCAAAAGAAGGAAGTTTGTGGGATAAAAAAAAAGGTATTTACTGGACGGTCTGAGACTTAATGAAGTAGGAACTTACTGTGTTTTTGTGGCTCTTATGGCCTCACTCGACGAGGGGTTGTGTACATGCAGATGTGCAGAGTTGTGTGCTGTTTTTTGGGGGACGCCCTGATCACTGATCTATGCTGCTTCTCCCTTCGCCGGTCCCCTCTAATGAGCACGACTCACAGGCAGCGTCACCATGTCAAGCCTCTATTCTTTTAATTATCTTCTGCGTCTTGACTTGGTGCGACCAAGGTTGCGTCCTGTCGAGTTTTAGTCAGTCGAGGTCACGACAGTATGGCGGCATCTTAACCAATTTAGCACAGAGGAAAAGTTCCACGTGTGTGTTTCAAGTGACCTGCTGACATTAGACGCTGACGCGTGATTAGGAAGCTGGAGCCTGGACGCCGCGAAGCGACATCCAAAGCGCCGCGGCTGGAGTTCCGTACTCGGATCCTGTCTCTGTGCTAAGGCGGCAGGGCCTGTTTTGTTCTCCTGCTGCCGCACAACACATATATTTCATTTCACTTCTCACATATTTTCCATCCCACGTTGCAACAGTAAAATCGGAGAGCAACAAACTTGGAGGACGGGCGGCGACACGGACGCCTTGACGAATGATGGGAGTGTTGAGGCCTCTTTAACAGCGTGGTAAACATCATTACTGTCTGCCTTCATGGCCATGGAGTGTGATCGATGTGATTACAGAAGCTCCCGGAAGTAGAGCGAGGAGACCAAACAGATGTGCTGTTTTTAACACATACGTGATAAAAGTTGAAAGAAACTTTCGTTGTCACAGTAACCCGAGGGAATTGTTTGTGTTTAAAAGAAGTTCCCTCAGTTGGCTTTAATTTAAGAAACTGCAGTGAACGAATGTCAGTGTTCACATCCACCTGTAGTGCTAATCAGGTTTGTAAGAGCATAATTTACCCTCCCATACAGCACAGGGGAAACTAACCCAGTTAATGATGGAATGTCCTAATATTCCACAGCCAAGGTGAGCCGGCGTGCCCCAAGGACACGGCACAGGTTTTGGCTTCTTACAGCAGAAACAGCGCGGATACAATATATTTCATTAACAATGACTCTGTACCAACCAGTGTCCCTGTGAGCATTATTTATTATTCTTGCTGTAGCGAAGGCCCAATTCTAATCGATTACGGTCGTCCTACCTGCACCGACCTATTCCAACCAGAGAGGGCGACCGTACAAACCATGTCAATCAACCCTTTGTCCATCATGGATATATCCAATGTTTTTTTCTGTTTTTCCTTGTTATGAAGAATATTGTACACAGACAAATAAAGTGTTATACACTTTAAATGACACATTCAATTTAAGAGATTCAAGTCAACAAACGGACGGCACGGTGGCGTGGTGGTTAGCACTGTAGCCTCGCAGCAAGAAGGTCCTGGGTTGGACTCCGCCCAGTGGCCTTTCTGTGTGGATGTCTGCATGTTCTCCCCGTGTCTGCGTCGGTTCTCTCCGGGTTCTACGGCTTCCTCCCTCAGTCCAAAGACGTGCTCCGGGGATCAGGTTTATTGGGGACTCTAAATTGCCCGTAGGAATGTGAATGTGAGTGTGAATGGTTGTATGTCTCTGTGTAGCCCTGCGATTGGCTGGCGACCAGTCCAGGATGTGCCCTGTCTGTCTCTCCGTCCCCCCCGCGACCCCTGTGTGCAGGATAAGCGGTTTGACGATGGATTGATGGAAGTCAATAAAAAAATATATATATATTTTAGTTGTCACTCTGTATCAAAGTTAAAGACTCTGATCGCACCAAACGTCTCCCCATGTTCTCTCCCCGGGTTCCCTCCCGGTGACGCGATGCGATTTTCGGCCGACCGGTGGCACGCAACGTCAAGTGAGCCTTTCCCGGCCTCCTGCAGCTCATTTAATAATTGAAAAATGGCTCAGCGTAGATGAGAGACAGAGAGCGAGTACTCTCTGCAGGGGGGCACAATCGTTGAAATGTCACAGTGCGTTCCTTCCCGAGCTTGATCTCCTCGTACGGCTCCGGTGGGTCGTCTGGGCGGACGTGTTCTCTCGGTCGGGCGCTTCAGGAGGCCGCGGCCGCTGGGACGTGCATATTTGCTCTGTGCTCTTAGCCTGTCAGAGCGAATGTAGATTGAGTCCAAAGTTGTCAATGAAACAAATCCAAGGAGATTAATGGGGAGAAAATGAGAAGAAAAAAACACACACAAATTGACCAAATGACCAAAGTACTTTTCTGAAGTTTCGTTTTCTATTTCCATGTATTAGATTTTAGAGGGACAGAGAGAGACAGAACAGCACGTGAGGTACAAGTAGCGAAGATTGATGTCCCCACTGAGACATCCAAACAGGCTTCACGCTGCATTCCTGAGGCGCTGAGACGCATTCACACTTCTATGTGTTGATAAGGACATTTTCTGAGGAGGAGTCCGTGAACATTTCATGTTTCATCAGCAGCTTAGTGATCATTCCCCGACTCGCACCCTCATGAACGCGCCAATCAAATTCATATGTTGAGATGTCTTGAAAGCACCTTTCTTCAGAATCGCTTCCTCTTGGTGCCTTAAAAGGGGTTGACAACACAAGTTGGAAGTTCAGCTCCATCTCAACGCTGTTCCTACCCCTTGGTTTTTTGAATTTGTCTTTCTATGTGAGAATTTGTTATAACTAAGAAGGAAAGTCATTGAGCAAGACGCAGAGAAAGGTTACAGGGTCTCACCTAATGGGGACCGGGTGCTCTGCCGCAGCCTCAATTTGTGCTTTTTGCTGAAAAGAGAAATGTCTTCTCCTATTGCAGGTTTCCACCCTTACAAAACACCTCTCCATTAATTTAGTTTCAGTCAGTTTGCCTTACTTTACACTTTGCTGGCGCCACACGGACTGAACCGTACCTGCTTTAGTCTCAACATGAGAAGGTGTAGTTTGTGGTTTAATGCAGAATTCTCTTTAAGTCGGAATTCCTTATTCGTGGGAACCAGATCGAACGTAAAAAGTAAATGTCTTCTTACTCCCTGCAATGCATTCTTGATTGGACTCTATTCCTTTTGTCAAAAGATCTGACCCGATTAAGTCCAAAGTTTTCACACGGTTTGTTCCTCTCGCTCTCTTTTCACCCATAGGTGTCGAGAAGGCTACCAAGGAATCCGCTGTGACCAGTTCCTGCCAAAGACCGACTCCATCCTGTCCGACCCAAGTAGGTTTCCACATACTTCACTTCATTGTTTCACCATGTTCCCCTTGAAACGTGCATTTAGTCATGGCAGCAGCAACGCAGTCACATGTCCTTCTCTTACTCTCACAAATCCTGCAGCACGTCACCGTCTGGTGATGATGAGGAGCTAAACCTCCTCTGCGCATTGTGCACCTACGTGCTCATTATCTCTTGTACCATTGGGTTGTTCTGCAGTGCTGCAGTCGCCACATCACTGCTGCTTTTGGGGGGCGTATTTGAGATACAATGCTATTATATGCATCGATGCACACAATGTCGAAAAAGAACAAGTATTCCTTAACTAACTCTGACAATGCTGTTAACCGAGATCCTTCGTTTGATACTGGTTAAAACATTGAAGCAAGCTGTGATGTTTCCAGCAGTTTGTTTAGGTAACTGTAATGTCTTTACCGCACCTTTCACTTTTTCAAATCTGTCCTCATGCAAAATGTGCGACCTTTTGAGTGGTGTGGCAGGACAAAAGCTTATTCTACCAACAAGGTTCTCTAATAAAAAAGGAGGGTCCAATTCTTTTGGGGATTTTTACCTCGTATTTGTCCAATGTAAAAAGAACTAAACTGTTAATATTCAGAAATTCTAATTTCTCATTATGAGTATGCCCTACTGCCCAAAGGAGAATGTGCCATTAATGAGACATGTCGATGAAATGCGGCAAATGCAACAACACTGTTATCACTTATCGCTCAAGTTAATATACTTTACTTTCCAGATCATTAATTAAGTCTCCGTAATGAGGTTTTTAAATCCATGCGAGTATTGGGGTAATTGTCCCTGTTAAAACAGCGTTGGCGTTCACTGAAGTGACGTCCGTCGCTGTGTTTGTACACGAACCCGCTGACCTGAACGCAGTGCGAGCTGAGATCCTTGGCATTCCTCACCACTAACGCAGTTTGTCAAGCGCCTGGACAAAAAAACGCTGCTGATTGCGTTGCTACTTAATCCGTTGATCGCTGTGAGGACGCCTTGAACATTAGAACCACTGGGGAGTTTTTTCATGTCTCTGTGGACAGTCAAGGAGCTCCGTTAAAAAGATGCAATCTGCATTACATCTTCTTTTGATGGGTCCTATTTGTATGACTATGAGCAACGCTTTATTTTGACGGGTGGAATAGTTTCAGATTGTGAGAAAGGTTTTTATAAAAGACTCAGACTACATGGTGCCATTTCAAGTGGAAATGAAGCAACTGTTCTATGAGTTAATTTAAATTGAATACATACTCTAGATAATGTTAATATGTGTTTTATCAGGCGAGCACATACAAGTCAACATTTCTGAAGATAAAGAATTCTTTTATAAACAACAAGGAACAGCTTTTGGAAATCCAGGAAATCATCATTCCTTCCTGTGAACCTCCTTTGAAATTATTATTAAATAATCTGCATTAAACATGTGGTGCAAAGACGCATTCATCACTCATTTCACCCGTCAAGCCTTGCTGCAGGGGGGGGGGGGGGTCTAATACTTCAAATTGGTTTTCTTGCCAGTTATTGATTGTTGATCTATTAATCGGCGACTCTCTTATTAATATGACGAGGCTGCGAGTTACAATCCCAGACTGATCCTCTAACATCAGTATGGGTTTGTTCCCTAATTCAATGTTTTTCATCTATTCATAGCAAAGTTCAATAACTGTTCAAAATCTCTATCCGATTCCGTGTCCTGACATTAAGAATTGATCGGCGCGCTTTCAGGGCATCGGCCTCGCTGGCTTCCGTCCTTCTCTCGACAGCCTTTTTCATTTCTATCAAATTCCCGTTTTTTCTTTACTACAGAACTCAATGTTGCACGGCTCTACTTTTCAGTAACACCGCCTTTTTCTTTCTTCCCTTTTTTCCTCCATTTTGTTAATGCGGCTTCAAACAGTTGGTAAGTGCAATGTCGTTAAAGGAAGAGAGGAAGCGCGTGGCCTCCCTCTTCTTTCCTCGAACCCCTCAGACTACGTCGTCCCGGCATCACTCCTTGACTCATGAAATCCTAATTTCCTGGGCTACCTTTGTGTGTCGAGCTCGATAACTCGCATCAGTGTTGACATCTCGACCCCCCCCCCCCCTCCCACCCCCCCAAACGTCCCCCCGAACGTCCCTCCAGACGTCCCACCTCTCGCAACCCATCTGTCTTTGGCTAACCTCGCATCCCCCCCCCCCAACCTACGTCCAACCTGGCTGGTAAGACAAAGTGCCACTGCCCTCCTGCCCTCCGACGGGCCGGTGAAGTACAGAATGGTCAGAACACTAATGTGAAAAAACGTTATTGATTCTGCTGGCCAACGCTGTTCCAACCGGGTTCAACCGGATCGAAGAATGAAATGAGCAACACCAGGTCTGCACATATTAGCTTTCAAGACAAAGAAAGGTGGATGAGGTGCACATCCAACCCGTCTTGGGTGCAAACAGTGGCGTTCAAAGGAGAAAGGAGAGGTTGTCGACAAGCCGAGTGTTATAAGCCTCTGAAGTCTGTTTTCGCTACACAAATGGCGTGAGGGCGTCAAAAGATCTTGCCGCTGGCAAGGGCGGTGAAGAGCTTTTTATTTTATTAATGTAGTTCATGAAATTGTATATTTATGGGTCCCACTGACACAAACTGTCCCTTTCTTTTCGGGCACCGCATTACGTGAAATATATGGATCCATAGATTGCCTTAAGGGACCATTTGACAGACTAACATGATACCGAACGGAAGATTTTAAAACTCTTCCTTCCAGCAGGAGCACAGAATCCCAGCGGTTGCACGTGTTCCACCGACGAGCCGTGTTTAGTTCTCAGAAAGCCCAGAAGGCTCACACGCTTCCTCACCTCACTCGCTTGATGGGACGTGTTCGAGATCAAAGGGCTTTTTTTTTAGCAGGTTTCCCCTGAATCTGTCAAAGAGCAGCAGAGGTTTTTCATACTGTACCTCAAATCTTCTTTTATTGCAGAAGAAACAGAATTCAAGTTTCTTTTGTTGTTGAGGCATCGTTTGTTGTTCCGTCTCGGAGGTTGCTGATTGGCAGCGCGCATTCTGAGGAACTTTTTGCAGCATCCTGGAGACTAGACTCTACATGTATTCTCAGATTTCCTACTATTAATCTCCTTCTCCTGCTTCCATCATCTCCACAGCGCTTCTGTAAATAAAAAAGCAGATTCAAACCCGTCGGAAAATCAACCCACTTTCACCTGGAGTACAGGACATGCATCATACCACATGGATTGTGTCATTAAAGCTCCACCGAGCAAGTGATTTGCGTTTTGTTTCTCCAAATCCAAATACTGTCATTGCTGCTTGAGCTTTGAAAAGATGCTCACGCTATTCAGTTAAGAACAAGGGGATCCGCGGTATGAATGAACGCAGGGTGAATTAAGTGTCCTTGGGGGAAAACGGTCACAACTGTGTATTTGGCGCAGACCAGCAGACACTTCGGGACTCATAAAACACCACACGCATAACAATTCATTCCGTGCCGTTTATCCCTTTCTTTAAAGGTCACGAGGAAACCGGCTCAGAAGCATCATGTGGGCGTTTAGGAACAAACATTGATATTGCTATTCTGGAATTAGCGCCGTGAATGCTTTGCTGTTGCTAAAGTGTCTTTTTTGCCAGTTGCACTCGACATCGGCAGATGTTCTACAAATCTTACAGATAAGAGATTTAAGCAGTTTATATATTTTCAGCTATGCCGGCGCGTTCCTCCAAGTGCACGTTTGTGTGCGTGTCAGGGTGTGTGTGTGTGTTGTTTTTTCGGTGCTCTACTTCTCTACTTCTCTGCATGGTTGCATCTCCGTCCTGACATCCCAACACAGCGTTGGGAGGTGAGGAGAAGCATCTCGGGGGGGACATCCGGTTGCATTCACACCATCTGAAAGACAGGGAGGGGAAAAAAGCCGGATTAATGCTCTGAAGTACTCGACGTCTCTGACATCAGCCGTGGTATCAGCGCTCCTTCTCACACTGGCTTATTGTGGCAAGGCAAATCCAAGCGACTAGGATGGGGATAAAGACCTGTCGAGTCTGGCTCCTGCAATAGCAAAGCCAGAGGGGGTCTATGATGTGAAAGATATGCGTCTCTTTAAAGCCTAACATTCACCAGGAGCAACTTTTAAAACCTTTTAAATCCCCTATCAGGATTTGGTTTTTGCACTTTATTATGTTGGAAACAACTTTTCTATTGCATGAAGCTCTCGCTGCAGAGACACAGGCTGCTTATTTTTATTGGCAAGTGTCCACTGTGAAGACAATCCACAAAAAACAACAAAAGATGATTCTCTTTAACGGCAGGTCCCTTTAGAACCAGATGAAAATATGAAGAGTTTTCATCATCTCATCTCTCAATTAACGTCGTGCATTTGTTTGGGGCGAGACGCTGCACTGGGGGGGAAGTAGTAACATAACCCACGAGTTGCAGGTTAAACTTGAATTATTCAGACTATAATTAAGTACAGATTGCAAGTGTGAATTTGATTGGAAGCAGAGCGATAATCCATGCTGCGCAAAGCACACTTGAGCTGCTTAGTTAATTTATTGAACTAGGCTAAATGATGCTAACATGCTAGCAGAAGCAGACACACGCTCCCCTCGCTGTTGCTGCTTTTACTGTTACTTTTCCTTCCAATGCGACTCTCGCTCACGGCAGGACGAATTAACTGTTAAAAGGGTTGGATCTTCCCTGCGCTGGAGCCAGTCCGATCAGCCGGGCCGCATGCCGAGGTGGACTGACTCGCATTGATTTTTGAATCTGGGTGAGGTGTGGACAGCGTGTAGGAACACGCCGGACCGTTCATTAATCAATAGTCTCTCATCATCTTCTCCCCACAAGGGGCCTCCTCTCTCTAGGATGAGAGCTGAAGCACCTGCTGGAATGAGTTAAGTTCCGGTTGATGTTGCTTTAAAAGGACTTTTCTTAAAAAAATAATTCATGCTGATTTATAACGTTTGCACGTGTTCATCCGCGAGAGCTGGAGAAGTGTGCAGGCCGAAATGTGGCTGTTGATGGGGGCAGTAGCTTCTGGCTAAATCTCAGCCTGAGCCCCGAGGTCACACGCGGCCCCGCGTTGCTGCTTGCTGCATAACAAAGCGACCCCCTGCGCAGGTAGACCAGGTGATGCGGGACTGTTGCCCAGGGAGATGACTTCATCCCATTTCCACTTCGTTGCGGTTCAAACGTTAAAACTCTGGCCAAGAGTGTGCCGTCTTTGGAGTGATCAAGAGGTTCCTGAGATCTTTGTTGTTTGGAGCACTTTTCCTGTCGGCCAAGCCGCTTCCCGCTCCTCTTTCCCAAAGTGGGAGTGCGCCTCACAGCCGGCCCTCGAAGGTGCACCGCAGGGCGTCGACGCCCCCTCTCCCGTCAGCTTCCCCTGACGCGCCCGTGTACCGGCGGCGACCCCGAACACATAGCATGCCGCTGTGTGGATTCCCCCGTAGTATTACCGTCCTCTCAGTTTCACTTTTATTCCACGCAATTGAATCAAGTTAAATGAATGAAGAATTAATGAAGTCCTGGAAATATTGGACTTGAAGTCAATCAGGTGCATTGTGCTTCGTGGCCAGCATTAGCCCAGTCAAATAATGGCTGACCCTCTCCATCGCACTTGCCTCTGCCGACAACGACCCGCACCCATTCTGCATTCAATGAGGAAACAAACCCACATGGGGATGCATTGTCCTCCTAAATGATATCCCTCCCTCTGCGAGGAAAATCCGAGGCAAGCGCATAATTGACTATTGCAGCGGAGCTTAATGGATGCTGATTGCTGAGGCCAATTTACCTCCAGCCCGTCTGCTGCGAGGGGTGGGGGGGGGACGGGCGGCGAGCAATCACAAGGAGGGGAGGAGGGGAGGGGAAGGAGGGGAAGGGGAGAAGCGAACGGAATCTCATATTGATTGCGGCAATTCATCCGGCGAGCGAAATATTTACACGGGCGAATAGCAGACGTTTTTGGATTGAATATCAAAAAAAGCGATATCTCTGTTGTTTGCTCCAGACATTGTTTTCCCGCACGTGTCCTCCGGCGTCGCCACCAAGCGTCCGACGTTTGGCCCGGTGGCGGTGAGGGATGCGTCCTGTCGGCTGGTGCTTAGTGGGGAACATGGCAGCGAGATGCAGATCATCCCGGAGGAGTGCAGGCCGGCGCCCAGCCTCCAGTCACGGGTCATTAGTAAGTGGGTGGGATCGGGGGGGCGATTCTCTTCTCTCTTTGTCTTCTTTTTTCTCCACTTGCTGCCTCCAGGTTGACTCGTATTTACCTTTTTTTCCCATTTGTTAAATATCAAGGGAGCTTTAAGGTTCTAAACCAAAGCTCTGATTATTCAAAGCGCAGCGTGCAAACATATTCTACTGGATGCTCATGAAGTATTTTTAATGGCAGCAAGTGTTTGTTTTAGTAATTATTTGCATTTGCCGTTATTGTAACTTGCAATGCAAATGCATTATTCAAGAAGCCAGTTTGTGATTAGAATATTTAATGCTTTGGAGAGACGATTCATCATAGAAAATGTTCTAGACAAAGTGAAAATTATGTAAATGTATCTCACAAAAAAGACTACATTTTTACCCAATGCTCAGGGACTTTCTGCTGCAGATGTGACAATTAAAATGTGTTAATTGCCAAAAGCCGTTCTCTCCTCCTTCACTCCTTAACAGTATTACTCTTATTACAGATTGCAATAACAGCTCATAAGCGGAAAACTGATTAAGAAGGTTGTTTTTGTCAATCATACGCGTACTATTTTTAACTAAGTGATGAGAGCAGATGATGAACTTTGCCTCCCTGCTGTAATTACTTCTTATGAGAATAACCTTGGTACAAATCTTCAGTGTGGTTGGAAAGCAGGACGATCATCAGAAGTAAAAGCAAACACATCTCTGTCATGGTTTAGTTTATTCATTCCTTTGT